TAAATATTAATTTAATTAAATTGAATTTTTTTTTGTGTAAAAAAAGAAAAGAAAACAATTAAAAACTTTCGAAAGTTATAGTTATCGAAATTAAGTAGCCAAACAAATGTGATTGCAATTGAATTGAATGATTCTATAGAAACATTAACAAAATATAATCGCAATAAAAATAAATAGTTAAATGAAATAAATTTGTGACTAACCCTGATAACGTTGTTATAATGTGATCCACTTAACGTCAAGGATGCAACCGAAGTGCATGAACCCCTGCAAAAGTATGCGTGATAACCACTAGGATGAAGTATCCAATCACCCCAACCGATGTCTTGGAAATCAATGAATAATTCGTCACGACAACATTCCTTCATTTCCGGTGAACAATTAGAATTTCTTTTGAGCCTGTTTTCTTGGGGCAACGGTGACGTATGTATTACCAAAAAGGGTTTTAACGTTTGTTCGATGGATACAGGTGCAGTGTCACGGTCGATTGAACAGGTGCTGCAGGCTATTTGCATCGCGTGGTTCAGCTGATGTTTTTCCACCCACTTTTTCACCGTAAAACCCACGTCCGTCTTTACCCAACCCTCTGTAAGAAAAGAAAAAAAAAAAGAAGTAATTTAAAAGATAGAGGGAAGAAAGAAAAGAAAAAAAAAAAAAATAACAACAAGATTGTAAAACACGTAGAACCTCTTCCCACCATTCTATTTATCTTCTATCTGGTCTTTTTTTTTATTCTTGGGGGGGTTTTTTTTTTATTAGTTAGTACTATGAAGAACTACTTTCTTACTTTTCTACACGTTTCCTCCATTAGGGTTTTTTAATTATCTACTTAGGGGGTGTGGGGATGGTTAAGATAAGAGTTAGATAAAAGATGAAATTGTATTTTGTGTTTTTTTTCTTAATGTGCATACGATGGATACACAAGTATTTCGTTAATATTATTATTATATATGTTATATGTAATGAAAGATATTAGAGTATTATTGAATCGGGTTAAATAAGTTTATAATAGTTTTCATTTTGGATTTCATAACTTTTTGATAATATTAATAAGATCCTTGCGATAATATAGTTCGCGTATATTAATATTTATAGGAATTAATTAAAAATATATTTTTGTGTGTACATGTGTAAAAAAAATTTATCTCTTACGATTTATTATTTATTTGAGATGATAAAAAATGATTGATATTATTAAAATAAATTGATTTTGAAAATGATCAATACGAAATGGGCGTTGTGTTTATATATTAACGTATAAAATAAAAAAATAATAAAATAATTAAATAAAAATAAAATAAATAAATAATAAAAATAATTAAATTCTCATGTGTAATCTCGAAATTTGAAATAGTTTATTTAGTATTCATTGTATTTCTCGTATATGAATGACGTTTAAAGAATAAAATGATAGATATTAATTGCATGCATATAAGTTTATTCAGTTCCCCTTAAAAGCAAAGTCCTTTTAACGAGTAAATATAATACACATCTGACATACGTGACAACTATAGTCATTAAATACGGCCGTATAATAACACGATACGAGAATATCAACGAATGGCAATATATTTTTATCCGTGTTACTTTTCTTCTAAAGTCTAAAGTCCGATCGTTAGGTAAATCTGCCTTAAACTAACTTGTTGTTGTTGCCAGTTTTAATATCTTAATCGGTTTTCATTTATTTCAAAAGAAAATATATATGTATATATATATGTATGATCACGCATGATAATACTTTGTTTAAAAAGGTCACCGAGAATTTTTTCATTTCTATCTTTCTTTTACTCTTTTGTTTTAATCTATTTATAAGAGATTATATTATTATTATTATAAACAAAGTCACAAATTATACATTAGTAATAATTTTACAAAATGTATCTCATATTTATTTTACGTATAAATATTATAATATGGTATCTAACAACAAAAATGTAGATATGTAAATATATAATAATCAATTTTTTTTAATGAATTTTCATAGATATGATATGACATGTGTGTATTATTATAATATAAATCTATCATACGTATTTTTAATATTTTATTATTATATTTACATATATACCATACACATAAAAATAAAATATACCTATGTATATTAATACGTGATATAATAGAATATAAAATATTTTATTTGTCAATAAATTTATATGGTATTTATCGTTTATTTATTTACAAGAGGAGATTAAAATTAACAAAAACAAAATTTTGACGTGAGTCTCGTTAGATTTTGCTCAAAACTTTTCAACCCACCCTTTTCGTGTTATATATTTAATGGGAATAATAATAATTTTTTTATCATGAAATTTTCTTCAATAAAGATAACAATTCGCGTTATATTTTCAAAAATATAATATATATTGATTGTGATTGAATAAAAATAAAATATATTATAATAAATACACAAT